CCCAAGATCATCCAGCAGGTGCAAGTGGAAGAGTGGGGAACCAAACCCGGTTCTCCCAGATTAGCGTCCATGCACTTAACCACTATACCAAACTGATATGAAATATACACCAAAAAGAAGAAGAGAAGAGATTGGATTTATACCCCGCCCTTCACTACCCAAAGGTGTCTCAGAGTGGCCTACAAACTCCTTTCCCTTCCCCTCCCCTCCCCACAACAGACACCCTGTGAGGTAAAAGAAGAAGGATTGGATTCATACCCCGCCTTTCACTACCCGAAGTAGTGAAATATATGAAATATACACCAAAAAGAAGAAGAGAAGAGATTGGATTCATACCCCGCCCTTCACTACCCAGAGGTGTCTCAGAGCGGCTGACAAACTCCTTTCCCTTCCCCTCCCCACAACAGACACCCTGTGAGGCAGGTGGGGCTGAGAGAGCTCTGACAGAAACTGCTCTTTTTTCAAGAACAGCTCTGACAGAACTACGGCTCGGCCAAGGTCATCCAGCCAGGTGCAAGTGGAGGAGTGGGGAATCAAACCCAGTTCTCCCAGATCAGAGTCCGCGCACTTCACCAGGACACCAAACTGGAACCCATTAAGAAGAGAAGAAGCGAGTGGTTTACAGACTCCTTTCCCTCCCCCTCCCCACAACAGACACCCTGTGAGGCAGGCGGGGCTGAGAGAGCTCTGACAGAAACTGCTCTTTTTTCAAGAACAGCTCTGACAGAACTACGGCTCGGCCAAGGTCATCCAGCCAGGTGCAAGTGGAGGAGGGGAGAATCAAACCCAGTTCTCCCAGATCAGAGTCCGCGCACTTCACCAGGACACCAAACTGAAATCTATTAAGAAGAGAAGAAGCGAGTGGTTTACAGACTCCTTTCCCTCCCCCTCCCCACAACAGACACCCTGTGAGGCAGGCGGGGCTGAGAGAGCTCTGACAGAAACTGCTCTTTTCCAAGGACAGCTCTTGTCAGAACTACAGCCAAGGTCATCCAGCAGGTGCAAGTGGAGGAGGAGTGGGGAATCAAACCCGGGCCTCCCAGATTAGCGTCCCCGCGCTCAACCAGGACACCAAACGGGCATAGTCTTTGCACCGATGGAGGGAGTCCCATACACGCGTGCCAAGCGATGCCCGACTGCCTTGGTGGACGGGCACAGGGCGCGTGCGTGTGTGTCGCCCCTCCACAGGGCGGTGCGCCAATCTAGACATGCAAGAGGATGGGGCATCAGGAGGATGCCAGGGTGCCTACAGTTCGTGACACCGGGCGGGAGTCGGGTGCAAGAAATGCAAACACGTGTTCGGAAACCCAATTATTTGGGGGGGCGTCCGAGGCCGGCGCGAGCCGTTTGCAGCGGTGCTGGCGGCGGGTGCTTAGGCCCCCCTATAGACGGACGCAAAGGAGGCCACGGTCTGGGGGGCGCAGCAGGAGAGCCGCTTTGCGCCCATCGGAGCGAAGGGATCCCATCCCGGGCCCCTCTTCGGCGCCCGCCACTCTGCCCTCCCGGAAGGGGGCGCTGCGCGGGCCGCGGGCATTACCTTTCTCCTGCAGAGGCGTGTTCACCTCCTCCTTGCTAACCTGGGTGATAACGGACCCGCTGTCCATCAGACCAGCCGTGCGGGGCGCTCTCCTTTCCCCCTCCGCCGATGGTCCCTCCGCCGCTTTGGGGGCTCTTCCAGGAGTTCGGGCGGTTGACAGATTTTTTAAAAAATATATACATATAAAAACACGATAATTGAAAATAAAACGGGAGAGGGGAGGAAACGGAGGGTGGGGAGGGGCGGGGGGAGAGGGGGAGAAAACAAAACAAAAAAAAAGGAGGGGGGGGAGAAAAAAGGCAGCGGCGGGGG